AGATCAAAAAATCGTTCTTATAAAAAACGACAAGTTCAGAATGATTACCTCATTGAACTCTCTTGCTTGTGGTAGCATATTTAAACCTGTTGTTCCATCCAGCACTAGCAAAATTTCCTAAGATCAAAATGTAATATTTCTCTATTAATGCTTTTGAGAGAATAAAACTTTCATTTCAACTTCACTTTTAGCATAAATGCTGCTTCGATTCAAATTTGTAATCAACATCCGAAATGATGAAGAGCTGAATGACATTAGTAACTCATTCAAGCAACATATGCATGCTGAAATTAATTTATTCATTAAAAAGAATAGAATACACTTCTATAATAGGAATGCAATATTTTGGCTTACATTTGGTGCACCTGGAATAATTTTGCTAATTGTTTTCTTGCATGCAACAAGTTCTTCCATCAAGCTATAGTTAGTGTGCAAACCTGCCCAAAGATAAAAATCTTACTGATTATTCAACGAAGTTCAAGTCAGAAAATAATTGTGCATGATTTCAACTCACGTCCAGATGTGTCACATAAAACAACGTCAACGCCTTGTTCTTTCCCTCTTTTAATAGCCTGTGAAAGAACTACGCACGAAGAACATCAAAATCATATCTTAGAAATTATTACCAGACCATTCTTGTTTCTAAATTAGTACCTGATGATGCCTTGGTTTTCTCTTTTTCAGCAACAACAATATCACATCCTGTCCTCTCAGCCCAAATCTCTAGCTGATCACTAGCAGCCGCTCTGAATGTATCACCAGCTGCCAATAATATCTGCCAATAACTCCAAAGGTGAAAAAAATGAAAAAACAAGTCCACAAGAGGTTTCTTTCCACAACGATGAGAAGAAAATGTCAGATATGTTGAAAGTAACCTAATGCCTCCTAATCTCCTATCTAGAAGAAAGAAGAGGAAAGCAATGACTCATCTGACCTTTGCTCCCTCATTCTTCAATCTGTTGGCCAACTTTCCTGCAATAGAAAAGCAAAAAAAAACTTCAACCTCCATTATCTCCATGCCAACCTTTGGAGTATATTTGGATTCGAAAAATGGCAAGGAAAGGGAAAAAATGCCAAAGGAAGACATTTTCTTGGGTAGGGTGTGACCACCAAGAATGCAAAACAAAATTAAATATGGTTATATATTTTCTAAAGTTTCTTCGTATGTTCAGATTTATTAGTCCTTTATGTAATAAAAAATGTAAATGAAACGGGTTTGAACAAATATAAACAATGTATTTATTGAGTTTAAACAAATGTTATATTTCCCTCACGTTTTCTTTCCTTCTCCATTTCCTTTATATTTTCCTGTCTCTTTTTTAACCCTAGCATTTCCGAGTTCAAAACAGACCCTTAAACTTGGTGGCAAAGGAAAAAATAAATTCTCCAATTTTTATAATTAATGCATCTTTCAAGTGTATCTACTAAGTAGTGATGACTGAGGACAAAAGAACCTTTTAAAAGTGTATTTTTTATGGATAAATGTGTCTATAATGAACTGTAAAACTAAGTAATCTTTCAAACATTAATTATATAATTCCTAGTAAAATACAATTGTGTACCACATTGAGAACAATACGACTAGGCCCTTGATAAACATAAGGTGAACCATGAACACAAAAGTTCTCTTACCAAGGGATGTTGTCTTCCCACCTCCATTAACACCCACAATCATGACTACAGCAGGTTTCCTGTTCAACTGTGATAATAAAGCTTCAAATCTAAAACCATTGAAAACCAGAAAGGGCAAAGACTATGATGCAGTTCCTACCTGAATCCTAGTCGGAGCTCTGTTTTAGGTGCCTTAGCAAGAAGTTCCAAGATACCCCTCTTTAATGCATCCTATACACCACAGTCCACAAAGATTTCTTTCACCATGAAATTTATTCCTAATTACCCCAGCAAAAATTTAACATGACAGACATGGTTTTTAAAGGCACATGAGGCCTATGCCTCTGAGGCACAAGGTGTGAAGAAAAAGGCTTAAAAATTAAAATTATCAGCGCTTAAGCCTCAATTTCACACAGAAAAATATAAAGTCTTGCCCTCTCTATTTATTTACTTATTGTTTATTTCTTTCCTTTCTAAACCCAGGTGATAGGACCCTACTCTTCTTTCTTTCTACTAAACCCCTATCTCTCTCCCTCTTTATTCTCCTCTTGTCTTTCTTTATAAATAATCTTCCCCCCTTCCTAAGTAGCTTGTTAACTGGCATAGATGAAGACATTGAAACTCGTGATATAGAAAGAGATGGAATTAATCATAAAGTTACAAATTTAGATAATAATGCTATGGGTTATGCTCATAGTTTTGAAGATTAGTGAGTTGAAACTTAAAATCTGAAGGCTTAAGCTTTTACTATAGCTGGATATGCATATTTTATGCTTTCATGACTTATTTACTTACTGTTTTGTCCGTTTCTGAGCAATACTTTGTACGTTTTTTTAGTTCAACATATCAAATTCTTTTTCCATAGAACTATCATTATGAATTATCAATATTATACTATATTACCCCCCCTCTGTCCCATTATTTTCTTACCACTTTCCATATTAGGATGTCCTAAAATTTCTTTTCATTTCCTTTCAAGGAATGGTATCTGTGGTTAACGTCCTTCTACCTTTTTCTACGTCAATCACAACAATACATTTCCACATATCAATAAGCATGCCAATTCAAAGTGGGAAGAAAATTTTGGGAGAGTGGTAGTATTGTTTTATTTGTGTTTTTTAGGCTTACGCTTCACAAGACAGAGGCAGACCTCCTCAAGGACCGACTTCACCTTTCAAATCCTAGTTTATGCCACACTTTGACTCGAATCCGATCGTGCCTTTTAGAGCCCTGATTACAGATGTTAATAGATGATAGTACGTACTGTCACTTCTTCCTTGCTCATTATGTACGAAGAAGAACTCAGTTTTTCTTTTGCAAAAGAACTCAGGTTTATGTTTTGGAAATTTATAAAGAAGGATAAATAAACATATAGGAAATCAAAATGAAAACCTGCGGGCACTTACTTTGATCTCATTTCCTGTTTTTAGCCTCCCAGCATATATATCATCTCTCAAACTCTCAACGATCTTCATAGTAATCCTAGGCCCAAAATCAGATACCAACAAAGCCTACAACCATAAGGTTAAAAAATCAACTCTCAAGGCCTCCATGGCATAGAAATTCAACAAAAATGCAGTTAATGCGTTTTGTGTGTATTTTGGGCCTTCTTTTATCCGCTACATGAAGCTAAGTTGCATCACTTGTAGCTGAGCAGCGTAAAAGATAGCCAGAGATAAACCCTAGTTAATAACAAATGACATGAATCCGCATAAAGGCATTTCTTTTACGGAGTATTAAACAAGAAAAGTTCGTTTCCTCGATCAAAAAAAACTTTCTGAAAGAAAACAGGCTGATATTTTTAGTGGACCTCTTCCAGCTCATCGAGAACGCGATCGGTGTCGGAGAGGTTCCAGTAAAGAAGGAGCTCGTCTATGACGGCCAATTTATTCCTAGTTTTGGTAAATCCGGAGAATAGTTTCTCGACGTCATTCTTGGCCTTTTCTTTGATCAGTCTTCCAAGCTTTCCGAAGAACCCAGTCTGACCCGCGGAGCATTTGAAGCGAGATCGGCGTAACCAGTTAGATATCGGTAGATTGACGAAATTATCAGAGACGGGGCTCAATAGCGTTAGTGGCGTTCTGTAAGGGAGTTGCTGGAGGGATGAAGAAGATGGAAGAGAAGCCATTTGCCTAGCTTGCTAAGCAATTGGAAAGTGGAAAGTGAGATTGATAACTTTTTTTTGGCAATTCACTTCCTCATAGATGTCTTAAATGGGCTTCAATTGTCCAATACAAATAGGAGTACAAAGTAAAGTAAGTTTTTCTACTCATTGCTCTCGTTTTTTTGGAAAATAAATTTACTTTAACATTTTGATGTTAGATTGCTCAAGATTTGGGGTAATTTTTCCGAAATAAGAGGAAACGTAGTATAAAATCTGAAAATTGAAATATTATATTTTTTAAATAAGAGTAATTATTATCATTTTAAAATCATACTGACGACGTATTTCACATTATCGGATATTAATTTGGCAATATTAACATTTGACACTATTTCTGATCATGTCAATCATCGGCGTAGTCCGACAAAAAATTGGCCTAGTCGGTGACCTCAGCTCTAGACGCCCCTCAACACCAACTTGCGTCTAGCGGGTTTTGGAACATAGTTTTTAGATCCATCTATATCACTCTTAAACTTCAAATTTGTGTACAAATGTTATCTTGTGCACATTTGGTTTTGCAACTTCAATACAATTATTGGTGTATCTTTGAAGGATATGAAGGATAATTAGCAAAGATCTAGAATTTCCCTTTAGAGCCATCCCGAACTGTACCAGAACCGAAAGAATTGAAAAATATAATACCGTACCGAATTTTTCTAATAAGATGGTACGCTATCGATTCTTAAGCGAGAACTGCCTGAAACCGTCCTAGAACATATTGAATCGAACCGTTATGAATTGTCCCAAAAAAGCGGTAGTATTATATAATAGGCTGCTAAAAACTCTGGAATTATTCATTCTGCGGTCCCTTTCTCTTTCATTTTTATACAATTACTTATAAATGCTACGTAGTACAATCTAAATTTTTTAGTACCTCATGATTGTTAATTATTTAGAGTATGTTTGAGAGTTTGAATGGAAGGGAGAGGGTTTGAAGGTTAGTCATTGGAACGGAAGATGAGGGTCGGACAATCACTTCAGGGGTAAAAAGGACCCAGTGGCCGGTGTCCACTGTCCCGGTCTCCAATTAGCCAATTATCCCGGAAACTGGAATAATGGGCGCCAATTAGCCTGGACCAAAACCATGTTGGACCTTGATTAAATGCCAACCCCTAGCGTAGAACAAGTAATGGGCGAAAACGAAGAATCTTTAACCTTGACAGAGAATTTAAACAGCAAAAGTCAGAGATCAACGAAGAAGAAGATTCGCATTGGTATTATAAACCCGCCCAGGGGAATGGAGCACTTTAGTACATTGATGACAAGTGGAAGTTAACAAAATTTGATCCAGAGAGGAATTAGTTCATTCCATTCAAAGAATGAATGAGTTGATTTAACAAGCTAATGAAGACTTCACATGCCTATGAGATGAAAACTAAGGCAATCAAAATTACATCTAAGACTTGTTGGTATTGATGATGATGATGATAATTACATAGTATATTGCATGGGAAGTGGAAGAACAAATAAATACAAGAATGTGTCACTGCCTGAAAGTCTTGCCAGCATTGTCCATACCAAATAATTTAACAAAAAAAAAGTAGAAATCACTTTGATGGATCAACTTGACTTGTCACATTCCCTTCTCTCTGACAAGACTCGCAAAATAGCACTCACTCACTCACTGATCATGCCGGCAGCCTAACCTCACAATATGGCAAGGAGGGGGTTTACCGTCCCTTGAACCGATCATTTCCTCAAATGCTCAGTAATAAGGCGGTTTCGCAGTTCGGCAGGCGCACCAGCAAGCTCTGCATCAAAAGAATTGGATCAATAAGTGGGATGCTTTTTTTGAGTTTTTTGTGGGATTGATTATAATGATCATAATTTCATAAAAATGTGTATCCTACAATAAAGACTAAAAAAAGAGATCCGCACCTTGGGGAGTAAAGTTAAATAAAGGGGGTAGAGGTCTCCCATTTGGCAAGCATGTGTTTGGGTCCTTTAAAGCATCAAAGAATGGGTGTGCACAAGCTTCCAACTGCAAAAAACAAAAAATAGATTCCCATGAAACACTAATTTGGTCATCCACTTGTGCAATTTAGACGCGTTTTAGTGCTTATGCACATTTCATTCCGTTTTAAAATAGTATTCCGTCAAATGAGAGCTGAATTGTGTTCATATTACATGCTTGAGTTCTAAATTGCACCTAAATTTGGCGAACGAGTGAAAATGCCCCCGACATATTTAGAGCCAATTACGGGTGAGGACTAAATTGAGTCCACATTGCATTGTCACAAACCAAATTTAGTTAAAATGAAAAACATCAAGGTACTAAGTTAGCGGTATCAGCTGTTCGAAACAAAAAGAGAAAATGATCAACTCACAGCAGTACAGCGCAGTGTGGGTGAGTACTGTAGCAGTCTGGAAACTAGATCAACTGCCTCGGGTGGCATTCTTTTATGGAAAACCTGAAAAAATAAGGAGCATTTGCTATTCAAACCTCTTTTCTTCATTTCTCGTTTCTGGTGTTTCACATGTGGCCGTTAAAGGTGAAAATGTGAGAATAGAAATAGTTAGCCAAGAATTTGAGGGAATAAGATGAAAATGAACCTTGTGCCAGGGATGAGCTTTGATCTGAGGAAACTTGAACTCTGTGTAGTTTGGATTCATGCACCTAATCTCCTCCCTGGTTGGTGTCCCTAGGATCTGATTACATAAACTAAGACACTTATTAGCTAGAACTCAAAGTTAAAATGCATGAAAAATGATCTAATTGACATACATACCTTAATGATCTCAACTAGTTGATCAACCCCACTTTCACCAGGAAATAAAGGCTGCATAAAATGCAACAGTCAATGTCAGATGAAGAGGTTATATATTGTCGACTAAGAGGCCCTTTGGTGAAACCTTCTTTTGGCTTATCAAATATCAGATATGCTGGCTGCCTGGCTGAACCATCTAATTGTAATGATCAATAAGAAAATAACAGTGTATGGGGTACTTTTATGGCTGATATTATTGAAACTAAAGAAATTGACTTTTCAACCTTGTATATTTTATACTCCGTTTTATTTCCTTTAATTCAATTAAGAAGTACAGAGTATATATTGACAATTTTTTTGAAATGATTCAGCACATTCAGCCAATTCAACCACAACTTAACATATGCAACTGATTCAGCCACTTGAGCCTAGGGCATGACGGGTGGATTCTAAGATTATAAAAATAATAAAGTGCTGGGGCAATGTAAAATCCCTGCACCGATCATTCCATAAATCGAGCAAACGAGAAAGAAAGTAATGAAAAAACTCACATTTCCAAGAAGTAGTTCAGCCATAACGCAACCGACAGACCACATATCGATTGCAGTAGTATACTCTGTTGCTCCGAAAATCAATTCTGGTGCTCTATAGTAGCGAGAACAAATATATGATATATTTGGCTCCCCAGGCACCTTCAATGCAAACCGTTACTAATAACTCATAAAAAACAAAGGGTATCACATTCCAACCCATTAGAGATGTCACTTACCAACATCTTTGCACTCCCAAAATCACAAATCTTTAGCTGGTGAGTATGAGGATCAACCTTCAAGTTCACATAACATTCCAATTTTAATTCAAAAGAATGGCATTGTGGCAAAAGCAAGAGATGTTAACATAGAGTTACTGTTACAAATCAGAGGAAAAAATACAAACCAATAGATTTTGCGGTTTAATGTCGCGGTGACACACACCAATCACATTATGAATGTAATTTAAAGCACGGCAAATCTGGAAGAAGAAAAGAAGAAAAGAGAAACCAGATAAATTTATAAGATTTAAACTACTTAAAGAAGGAACAAAATATAGACCAGACAGTAACATAGCTCACCTGGTATGTATAGAGTTGGACATATAGAACAGGTATGTGTTGATTCATTCTATTATAGTGTCTAGACACCCGATGAACAGTTTCAGGCACGTACTCCAAGACAAGGTTAAGGTACACATCATTATTCTCAGTTGTTGAATGAAAACAATGCTTTAATTGAACAACATTGGGATGCTCAAGCATGCGTATGATCTGGAGTTCCCTGTTCTTGTATCTTCTGTCCTGCAGCACCTTTTTAATTGCAACAGCTTCACCAGTTTCAAGGCATTTCGCCTAAGATTTGAATAAAAGAAGGAAGAATTAAGTTAATGCATACATATAGGAGCACACATACATTGGGATGCTCAAGCATGCGTATGGCATTTTGTTCAAACAGGCACGATAAGTAGCTTTTACATACTTATTTGATTGAGATGAATTTTACCAAAAGGATCCCATTATTATACCTGGAAAACAACTCCAAAAGAACCAGTGCCAACCACACGCTCCGCCATATAGGACAATGCCTACAATCAAAAGGGAAATGGAAGAAAAATCACTCATTGATTAGCAACACTTCATTGTCACCGTTATAAGAAAGCATAAAGTTTGCAAAATGTTCACTTGTTTTTGTTGACCGCTACCACCGCCTACAGTAGTGACAATTATCTGGCCTGCTTCTGTCCCATTACCTCTAACAACGGAAGGTTCCATATCCTGCACAGAAATAAAATACCAATTATGAATATACTTGTTCCCGCTTATTTAATACTCCCTCCGTTCCTAAATAAACTTCCAACTTTCCTTTTTCATCCGTTCCAATTAAAACTTCCACTTTCCCTTTTTAGTAAAAAATTTGTGGTTCACGACATTTCTTACACATTTCTCTCTCCTCTGCACAACTCTCCACCACACAATACCCACTATCTTAAACTCTGTGCCAAACCTATTTGGAAGTTTTAATAGGAACGGAGGTAGTAACAAAGAACAAAAAATGTGCATTGTCCTAAGCGTGTATAAAAACAATATTGTCAACAAACCTTCAGTCTGTTCTGATTATCAGACTTGTCATCATTGATTTTCATTTCAAGCATTTCTTTCGGAAGCTCATCATATCCTGACCGCGCAGGTCTTGGTTCCATAGATGAGGTACCAGTGGAGATGACTTCTTCCTGAGATGTAGAAACAGTAAAGCCTTGTTCTTCAACCTCAGGTTCACCAGCAGTCCTTTGATTAGAATCTTGTTCAACTTTCACTCTCTTTAAGCTTGAATCCCCTCCCTGTTGAATTATTATTTTCCTTAAATTAATATTATAAGTGGAAAAAGTGAAGGGGTTTAACTACTCGCAACCCTTTATCAAGTCCATATAGTAAGGATAGAGGTAGTCAATCCAAAATCACGCATATACACCGAAATTCAAGTAAAGATTTAACTTAAAACCAACATGCATGACAAAAAAATCACTGAAAGCATATAACAGCAAATTTTCCTCACTCAAGCTAAGATTTCCATCATATTACCGAAAGACTGGATCTTTCGAACCACACTATGTTCTATTGGCATCAAAATATGGTAACAATGACATAGTATGTTCATGGAAAGAGGGGGTTTATGTACGGAAAAGATAAGAAAAGAGGGGAGGGGTGCAGAAGAATTGTGGAAGGAAATTTACTGGATCTGATACTGAAGAGCGACCGGATGCAACGCTCTTGAGACGACGCATTACATTCATTTTTAGATGCCCTTTCTCCCTTCTCTTTCAAGTTTCAGACTTCCCCAATCGTCTTCTTCAATGAAGCTTCAAGAAGAGAGAAGAAGAGAGACATGCAAAATTAACGTGGGGAGAATGATTTTGTTTCTGTCCCTCCTCTTCTCGTCTCGTTGTAATAACATCCCAGAGAAAGAAGAGAGAAGAAGAGAGAATTTAATCAGGCAAATCCCTCTCCCATTTCGTCTTTTTCTCCCTTTCTCTCTCCTCAAATTCAAATCCAAGAAACATAAAGAAATGTCTGGTCAAATGTATGACTGTGAGGCCAATCATTCCTACTTACCACATGTTGTACTTTCAGTCAAACATGGATCGTGAACCGTCGGTTAGTAATCGTATGATTGGACAACAATTGATTCAACGTACATTAAATTCAACGAGGAGTAATAATAATACTCCCTCCGTCCCATATTTAACTCCGATTTTGACCGGGCACGGGTTTTAATATAGTGGAATTTGTGTGGTGGAGAATTATGCAGAGGAGAGAGAAATGTGTAAGAATGGTTGTGAACCACATATTCTTTACCAAAAAGGGAAAAAGAAGATAAATTTGGGACGGACCGAAAAGGAAAGAATGAAGATAATTCCGGGATGGAGGGAGTAATAAGGTAGATTCTACGGTACCCAGAAGATATCATACATTTGTCCACATAGACCAATGAAAGTGTTGCACTTGAATTATTTAATTCTAAATTAAAAATAATATACCTATTTGGACCAATCAAATGAATGGTAGGTACGGTACCCCAATTTTTTAAAGGTAAATTCTATGGTACCCATTAGGTATCATACCTTTGTCCACATGGACCAATGAGAATGTATCTGTTGAATTATTTAAATCTAAATTAAAAATGATAAAGTGGTGTGGTCCAATCAAATTAATGATAGGTACGGTACCCCATTTTTTAGAAAGGTACCGGAGTTGTCACCTTTTTTAAATGTGTACCGAAGTTATCACCTAATAATAATAGTAATAATAACAAAAACAACAACAAAAAAACAAAACAAAAAAAGAATAGATCGTGGCGAAAATCAAGCATGTGAGATGATCAATTTTTGATAGGTGGCACTCTGTTTTGGAATTCATGTGGATGTATCTTGCATCACCCATGTGTTTTGGTGTTTTTGTGCTAAGGGAGATCATGTTATAACCTCCTTTGCCTTTGGCCTTTTTTGGACTTGATGTGATCTGTGTGCGTGCACCTTGCAGCATCGTTTGATTTTTTAGCTTTAGGGGCATTTAGTATTCTATACTTAGGCCCTTTTTTGATTTTGATTAGATCGAACAAAAACCTCTCCTAACTCCTACACTAGGTAGGGGTGGGGGATTAGGAGATCTAGAAACTTTTTGATGTATTGTTTTTTCTTTGGGTGTTAATATATATTTACATTTCATCCTCCAACAACAACAACAACAACAACAACATCAACGGTAACAGCAACAGCAGCAACAACAGCAACAGTAACAGCAACATCAACAGCAACAGCAACAACAACAACAACAACAGCAACAGCAACAGCAGCAGCAACAACAACAACAACAACTTTTTCATGGTAACATTATTATTTAAGTACTTTTTCATTTTTTACACAACTTTTCTTGGTATAATTTTACTTATAACTCCATTTATTAATCAAAATATCATCATACTAATTAAACCTATCAATTCTTGAAAACAATGTTTAAAGTACTTATTACTTGTGTTAATGCATTTATATATATTATTTGAAATCATAAAAAACGTTTAAATAGTTGTACTGATTAAATTTATAAAAAATTAATTGATGTCCTTAAAAGTTATTTAACAAGTTATCAGCTAATTATAAGAAGCCAATTAACCAAACACCATCTTACAAACTGATAATCCTACCAGTTGATCAAAACAGCCAACAGAATCTGTTGTCATCAATCATCTAACAAAATCAGCTAATAGCCAACAACTATTTGTCAAACGCCCTCTAACTAAAAAGTATTAAAGTCACTAAGGTTCCCCACTAAGGTTAGATAAAAAAATAGAAAAATGAAAAAGTATTAGCTGAGTTTTGAGTTGACTAAAATAGAAATATATTTGTTGGGTTCATGGCCCAACAGGAGTTGGCCCATAAAACTCTCAAGGGCTACCCTACAGACCTCCCCAGAAGGCACAAGACAACGAGTTACCTTTCCGCTTATCGTGTCGAGGTTCGTCCCCAACAGAGCCAGACTTCAGGCCCTAGGTCCAGAGGACGTACGTATCGTGGCATAGGCGGGTTGGAATAAGGGCAGATCTGGACGTTCGTCGTGCAGGACTTTGGACCCAGCAGGAAGCATGGGGCAAGCTCATGGGGACGAACATCCCCACCCCTTGGCGGGAAGCTAAGATGCTGGCAGGGGCAGAGCCGGACGCTCGTCTTGCAGGACTTTGGACCCAGCAGAAAGCAAGAAGCAAGCTTGAGGGCACGAACGTCCCCACCCCTTGGCGGGAAGCCGTCAGTCAGGCACGCCGTGCCTGGACGCGAGACGCGCGTTTGCTACGCAAGCACGGACGCCAGACACGCCGTGCCTAGCGCCGTGCCTGACCCCGGATCTCCTATTCCAGCTCGAAATTTACCCCTTTTTCCCTATTTAAACAGCCTGTAATCCCCTATTTTGAGACGGAGTTTAGAGAGAGGCATAAGGACGAAATTTCTTCTACTTTTCCATCTTGTTCTTCAATTGCCTTAGATTATTTGTAAGTTCCTACTTTTTAATTAATGACAATTAATTCTATTCTTCCCAATTCTATTGATTCTTCGATTATGAGTTGTGAGTAGTCTTAATTAGGGATTTGGGATTGATGAAGAGGTGAATCATGATGTATTGCTAAACTCATGATGGATTAATTGCCTGAATCTTGATTTCATTTGTGTTTGAATGATTTAGTTGATATCTCTTGTAACCTAGAATGACCACTAGGATTATAATTGCATGTAGAATAAATTAAGAGAGATCTAGTTTATTCTAAAACACATTCACACACACTTAATCGTTCACTAAGAGATTTGTAGTGATTAAGGGGTCGTAAGCTCGCTCGTTTTGGAAATAGTTTAGGATCCTGTCGCATGAGAGATTAGCCTGGTCCCCTAAATTATTGTACTCTACGCCGCGAGAGCGGTAAGAACTTAGTAATGATTAGCTAGGCTCAATTAATTTAATTTCATGTAATTAAGTCTGATTAGTCAGAAATCTGATTACCCCGGAATCAATCCCTGTTCCCTTCGTCATTAATTAGAAAGAACCCATTAGTTTAATTTCTTTATTCGCATTAGTTAATTTCCCAAAAATTCCAATCTCGTACTTACACCCTATACTACTACATATTTTAAGTGCGAGAAAACTCGCATCACACACTTTCCAAGAATCTTATGTTTTCAGTTACTAAGTTTGATGACTGGATATTCCGCATGAAAGTCCATCTCTGCGCACTCCATGATTTAGGGCAATTGGGTGGAAGATTATGTTTCCAAGAATCTTATGTTTTCAGTCACAAGTGTATCTTATATACTGAAATGACCCAACATGAGCTACTTCCATGTCTTAGTCCACCCAAAGGTCGAGAGTCTAGAGAAGACCATCACGGCCAAGGGCATGGAGACGAGCATCTCCACTTCAGAGGCCAAGGGCCTGAAGACGACCATCTCCACTTCAGAGGCCAAGGCCTTGGAGACGAGCATCTCCACTCAAGCAGCATGATGAGCCCCTCAGCACCATCATGTCATCACCGACGCTGCCATGTGCAGCCATGCCATCATCATATTCGAAGACCCCTCAAACAAAAATATAGAAAGGGGCACTAGGGAATCCCCAAGAGGATAAACCTGATCCTCATCAACCACGTAGGCCTAGGTCAGCTCGGCTCCAAGGGCCTAAGCTAGAGAGCAGATACGACGAGCGGATGACGGAACGAAGAACAAGGGAATCCCTAAGAGGATAAACTCATTCCTCATCAACCACGTAGGTGACATTCGTGTAATTTCCATGTTTACGTTTATGTTTTTTATTAGTTTAGATTGATTATTACCTTGGAAATTACACACTTTTGGTGTAATAGTTTTAGTTGTAAAAATGTTTGTAATTTGTTTAGATTAGGTTTATACTGAGCTCAAATAGGTCCAAGATCACTCTAGGGACCATTGGTGAACATCACAAATGGAATGAGGCTGCAAAAAATCTCAAGATTCTGATTTTTGGTGTTGTACCCGGTCGGGTATGACCTATACCCGATTGGGTACCTTGTTGAAAAATCAAATCGGATCGGATCCGGGACAAGGCAACGTGCAGGGGAGATTTTGGCACGATCGACTGTTCATACCCGATCGGGTGGCCGACATACCCGATCGGGTATAACCTAGTTTTTTATATTTCCGCAAAACAACCAAGTACCCGATCGAGTGTCCTTACAGCCCGATCGGGTACACGACCCTGCAAACCTAAAAAGCCTATAAATACCCCCCTTTCCTTCCCACAAAAATCACCAATTCCTATATACTTCTTAGCTCAGTTTAGACAAGCTCTTTCTTTATATTTACTTCATGTTTAGTCTCCAAATGAGGAGCTAAACTCTTCCATCTTGGTTTTGCTACTTTGAAGCTTAATGAATTTGTAAGTTGTGAGTTATTTTCTTTAATCTTCTTCCTTGAATATTAGTTATTTCCTATTCATATTCCATATTAATATTTTGAGCATTACTTAAAGGATCAACTAATTTTGTTTCATATATTAATTATTACTAGAATCAATCGATTAATACGCTTGTTATTAATTCGGTTCTTTCAACGGTAGTAAAACTTGGATTATTAATGCATGCGTCTCATGGTTAATAATCTAAGGGGAATTAATTATATTGATTAAAACCAATAAACCGCTTGTGTTGAGGTTATCAATCTCAATCGTTTTCATCTTAAGTTTATTGCTATTATCGGGCCAATATACGACGCTTGTTCTATATTAACTCGGTAGTAAGTTTTATTAATGAACGTGCCTCGTTATTAATAACTACCCTCGATGAACTGGATATACTCCTCGATTGAGTATTCGAGAGGAAGATAGTTAAAGATATAACCGGGATCAACGAACATTTCATTAAGTGGATAAAAGCAAAACCAAGTCCTCATCTCTATTAATTAAACTCATATAGGTTGTTCATCTTAGTTTTAAATTAAATTAAATCATCCAACAAAACCCCCCTTGTTACTAGTTACATAAAAGAAATATTCCTTTCCCT